ATTGTGAGGGTGGAGAAGCTCCCTGTCCCCTCCTCCCATACAGACCGATAGCACAGTGCCAGAGGAACATCAGTCTTCGAATGCTCATCTAGGCAGGGCCTGCGGCGGGGGTCGGGGGAGCAGGGATGATAATAGAGATCCCCAACAGCTATTTGTAGATGGTGAGCTCCTTTAGGGCTTCTGTGCTCAATATCAAGAGGGATCCAGGAAAAGGAAAGGCTTTCTAAATCTAGTCGGAGAAAGAAGACTGGTGTCTTTCCCATAGTAGGTGTTCAATAAATGTGTAATGGACAAGTGCAAAACAAAGGAGTTGTATTTGGTAAATGGATGCCATGTGGTAGTTTGAAAAAAAGCAGAGGTTTTGGAGCCAGCAGGCATAGGTTGGAGTCTCAGTTCTGTCACTTCTCTGAGCCTCTATTTCCTCATCTGTAAAATGGGGATGATAATGTTCACCTCAGAGGGTTGTTAGGAGATTAAAGAGAATACACGTAAAGTTCCTCAGGCAGTGGACAGTCAGTAGGGAGAGGCTGGCTGGGATAAGTGAGCCAGACAGGAAGAGCCTTAGGCTGGGAGGCAGGTGAGGAAGCTCTGGACTCTAGAAGAGGGGACTTGGGCCTCATCTGAAATGAAGGCAGGGTTCACATGAGAGGAGGGAAGGCATCCATTGTGGATAGATAGAATCGCTGGGACATACATTTTTGTGATGAATCGGAAGTGAACTAAGAGGAGGCAGACCCAGAACATATGTGCTGAGGACCAATGGAAAGGTGGTGACCCAGGCCTGGGCCAACAGGTCAGAAAAAAGGCTCTAGACTAGAGCAAATAGAGTTCACGTTTCATCAACAGACGCCACTGGGTACCGTGCGCCTGTGTGCATGACACGGTTCTAGGTTCCACAGGGAAACGAAGAACATGTTTGGAAGGAAGGAAGAAAGGAGTGTGGGAGACTGACCTACTGCGTGCCTGGCGCTTTGTATGTACCTGAGCGCAGGGTACTGGGAGAATGGTACAAAGCACCCTAGAGCAGGGGCTCCCCAAAGCTGACCCCCGGGTTGGTGCTGGCAGCATTCCAGAAGAGAGGACACTATGTAATTTTTTAATATTGGAAAAGTAATTTGATTTGGACCACAGGGAAGATTACAAAGAAAAAGTAATTTAAGTAATGGTGGTATTGTTACTACACGTTCAGGCTTTAGAGAAACTTCCATCTTTCTCAGTTTTCTTTCTTGGTGCCTTTTGCCTGAAGAGTGAGGTGCGAGTGTGTGTTTTCATTCAGGTGTGGTCAGAGAACAAAGCAGTGCTGTTCTCTCTGAGTCTCTCTAAGATATTTCTGGGTGGAGAATGATCCCTCCCTTTGCAGATCTCCTGTGTAACTAGTTTTCAAGTTTTTGATGATTTATCACTTAGATTCATATGTAAAGAGTATTCTGCATAAACCAGATCTATTTTCCCTGTTAGCTGTTATGGTCTATAGAGAATTGTTCAAATGGACAAGTCAGACATGGTGGTAGATGGAATGTTCTGAGTGAGGACAAGGAGATTTCAGTGTATCAGAGGAAGGATCTGTTCCACTGCAGCTGAGTCCCACTTGGGATGTGGTGGAGGTGACCCTGGAGAAGTGAGCAAGGGCAGAACTGAGGACAGGGTTTGACTGACCTAACCAGTGACAGTGGGTAGACATGAGGCTGAAGAGCTGAGCTCTGCAGCTGTCTCGGGAGACAGGTAGGATGAGACCTCTGGGAGCAGTGGTCAGTGCTGGAGGGCTGCTGACAAGGGCCAGGAGCCTGGGACCTGCAGACACAGGCTCCTTTCCACCAAGACCGTCTCCAAATGATCTGTACTTGCCCCAGGGAAGGGAGAAAAACAGAACCCTAGACCCTAACATTGCAAGTTACCTTACTCTTCTACCTCAATTTTCCACCTAATGCACAATAAACATGGTCTAAGGAGGACAGTTCCTCACTACTGAAATCTAATGCTACAGTAGGATACATTTCTGCAGAGGGATAAGAGAGAACTTCAGTCCTAAGGCCTCAGTCAGTAAGAGATTCCCTCTCCCATCTTCTTTCTTGTGTCACTACCCGGGGTTAGAATTGGGCTAGAAGTCTTTGGTCAAGGTGTCCTCACTCCAGCCAAAGCAGATGGGGTTTTTATGCTCCCCTTAGAAAGTAGAACACTTGGGTTCAAAGAGTCATTCAAAAGATGTCTCATTTTCTCACTCATTATAGACCAACCCAAAGGTATTTTCTTAACAGTACAGAGGAGAGAGATGGGGCTTAGAGATAGGAAAGGAGTTCTTGAAAGCAAAGGGTTTGAAATTTTGGCCTAAAGGGACCTTGGGAGTTATTTTCCCCTACCAGGCCTGAGTCACAATCAATGGTCGTGGCATAGCAGAAAGAACATGGGCTTTGGAGTCAGACTTGGGTTCACATCCCGGCTCTGCTTATTAGCTGTGGGACACTGGGTGAGTTGACTTAACGTCTCTGATCCTCAGTTCCCTCAACTGCAACATGATGTGAGAATATTGGCCCCAATGTGATAAACAAATGGAATAAAGCCCATGAAAAGTTTCTGGTGCCACCGCATGGGGGATTATGGGGGTAACATCATTTCCCTTCCCCTGCTGTTCCCATGGTTACCTCCCTCCCACCTGAACCATGTGAGCACACCAGGAGGCAGGCAGAGAAATTCATTCAGTACTTCTTTATTGAGTGCTTACTATGTGTTAGGCACGAGGAATTTATAACAAAATAGACCTCATCTTTCTCCTCATGGGATTTTTCTGTCCAGCAAAGGAGACAGAGGAAACAATTCACAGAGAAAATAAACCTTAAATGACAAATCGTCATCGATCTTTGATGGAATTGAAACATCTCCGGGGTGCAGGAGTGGGTTCTGTCTGGGTAGGTGAGCAGGGAAGACCTCTCTGGAAAGGAGGCAGCCAGGCAGGGAAGTGGGGGAAGCAATCCAGGCAGAGGGAACAGCACACGCCAAGGCCCTGAGGCTGGAGAGCGTTCGGCTTGTGGAAAGAACTGAAAGGAGGCCTTTGTAGCCAGGAAGACTGGTAGGAAAGGAGATTTGGCTTTGATAAGTCAAGGTAAGGAGTTTGGATTTAGGTTTGGTTTGGGGTACAAGAAACTATTGAACAAGCAAGTGACATGATTTAATTTATAAAGATATTTCTGGCCCCTGCTGCTAGGAGTGTTCAGACTCCTCCATCACAGTCCAGTGTGGGCAGCCCAGGCCTGTCTCAGGGAGCCACCCCCACCCCACAGGCCTGAGCAGAGTGGGTGAGAGAATCCATGCTATGTAGAGAGATGGGCTTTCAGAGGTGGTGCATGCAAGAGGCCAGCCTCCCACCCTAAGATTTAGTACCACCCACTCAAGCAGATGCTTCCATCTCCTGTCAACTAGCTGGGAGCTCCTTTTTTTTTTTTTTTTTTTTTTTTGAGACAGAGTTTCGCTCTGTCACCCAGGCTGGAGTGCAGTGGCGCTATCTTGGCTCACTGCAATCTCTGCCTCCCGAGTTCAAGTGATTCTCCTGCCTTGGCCTCCCAAGTAGCTGGGATTACAGGGGCATACCAGCACGCCCAGCTAATTTTTGTATTTTAATAGAGACAGGGTTTCACCATGTTAGCCAGGCTGGTCTCAAACTCTTGACCTCAAGTGATCCACCCACCTCGGCCTTCCAAAGTGCTGGGATTATAGGCGTGAGCCACCGTGCCTAGCCCTAGCTGGGAACTCCTTGCACTGAGGGAGAAAGCAAGGGTGCCCTTTTGGAGTAGGTGGGCTGAACTTCTGTAGCAACTGAAACTCAAGCTGTGAGTCAAGCCTCCTAAGTTATTCTCACCTTTAATGAAATGCTCAGCCTGATTTTATAGGGAAGGAAGTACTGCCAGATCCAGGCCAGAAATTTGCATTCTGTAGCGCCTGTTCGGGCCAGAAATCCCAAGGGCTAGGCCCAGCATGTCCCCTCTGTGGTGGGACAGACAGACTGCCCTGGTCTTCCAGAGCCCTTGGGATACCCACAGAAAGAGGTAATGCTGCTCTGGCCCTCTTCTGAGGACCAGTCAGTGGACAGCATGCAACTTCCAGCAGCAGCCTCTCTATGAAGGGCTGAGGCCCTGGGCCCGGAGGCTGGAGGAGAGAGGGACCTAGTGACCCCTCAAGCTTCCATCTTGCTCTGTTACCCATTCTGGGGCTGAAGAGACACCCAAAGATACAGGGTAGAGAGTCACACTGATGTAACTCAGGGAGTGGAATTCAGGGCCTCCCACTGGGATCGAAGTGCTAATGACACAACTCCTGAACCTGACCTTAGAGTCCCAGCCATTGACGTCAACAAAGTTGAAATGATGTAACCTGACTCCCCCTGCAGGGCTTGTGCAGGGGCCTGGGAAGGGGGAAGGAGTGGCCAGGAAACTGACTAGTGGACAGAACTCAGGGCAACCCAGCTAAGGTCGGGACAAGACAGAGTGAAGGTCCCCTGGCATTGATGTTACAGAAGAATTCGGTGGTAAGGGGCTTCTGGCGGGTGGCATGTGCTATCTGAGCGAGTGGCCCAAATCCTTCCTGAAAGCATTTATCCGGCACTACAGCCACCATCAGGTAAGACAGTGGGCTTCTTCTGGCCACGGATGACACAGCCATGGGGGTGAGCAGCAGCACTGCCATGGCAGCGTGTCGTGTCACATGGGGATTCACATATGTACATATGTGTGTGCATCCCCGTGTGTGCACATATTGCCCCACCTGGGGACGAGGGGTGCCTGGCCACATCTGGAGGGGCAGCAGTACTCCTGTGGCCACATTGGGGTGGTCTGCATAGGTCTCATGCATTGGGGTCAGAGGGGCAGTCTGGCCTGTGGCTTCTCTCCTCTCCTCACAACTCCAGCCCTGAAAAGATGCTGGGGAGGCCGCTGGGGGTGACCTCTCCTCCCTGGGGTCTGCTATGGAGGGTGCCGAGCCTGGAACTGTGATTCTTCTATTGGATTTTTCAGGTGGATTTTCTGATTGAAAATGATGCAGAGAAGGACTATCTCTATGATGTGCTGCGAATGTACCACCAGTAAGTGTGCTGGGTCCAGCTCCTGTGGACCACTCGGGTTCCTCTGTCTTCAGGGAGTCCTGGGATGGGTTGTTCTGAGACAGAGGAGCTCAGAGGGTGGATGCTGACTGCTCCTGGAAATCAAATGGACATAGCATTCACTCATTTCAGCAACTATTTATACAAGTACTTTGTACTTGGCTTTGTACTAGGGGCTGGGGTATACTTGTGAGCAAGACAGATTGGTCTCTGTTCTCAGGTTGCTTACAGTCTGATGGAGTAGGCTGTCTAGTAGCCAGATAGATTCAATAGAGAGTGATTGTTGGAACAGAACAAGAAATGCCAACTGGCCACAGCCCTTGCATCAGATGTCTCTGATCACCCACTTGCTTTTTGATTCATTTTGTATACTTTATAAGCTCCTGCCACTGCTGGGCACTATGCAAAATCTGGAAATGAATTAGATCCTCTTTCTTTCCTTGAGTAACTTGTGATCTGGTGAGGGGAGATGAATGTACACTACAAATACAAAGAACTCTAATGTAAGTTATATCAAATAACTGCTAAGTAGAGGTAAAAGCAGAAATGTGAAGAAAGGAGTTTTCCTTTCCAACTGAGAGGGAAGAGAAAGGACCAGGAAGGCTTGAGCAAGGCTTTGAAGGATAAGAAAGATTTGGGGCCAGGCACGGTGGCTCATGCTTGTAATCCCAGAACTTTGGGAAGCTGAGGCAGGAGGATTACTTGAGCCCAGGAATTAGAGACCAGCCTGGGCAACATGGTAAAATCCCATCTCTACAAAAAAATACAAAAAATTAGCTGTGTATGGTGGTGCGTGCCTGTAGTCCCAGCTACTTAGGAGGCTGAGGTGGGAAGATCACCTGAACCCAGGAGGTCAAGGCTGCAGTGAGCCATGATCGCATCACTGCACTCCAGCCTGGGCAAGACAGCAAGACCCTGTCTCAAAAAAATAAGAAAAGAAAAAGATTTGGGTAGGTGGAATATCAGAGAAGGGCATTCCAGAATGAGGGATCAGCATTAGCCGAAGTGTGGAGGCACGAAAGCAAGGGTGTGAATGGGGATAAGTAACCTGGGGGAGTAGGACTTGGGAGGACACAGAGATCGTAAATAGCCACAAGGCTGGAGAAGCTCCACGGGACAGGTCATGGAGGGCCCTGAGCATGTTGAAAAGAGTGGACTTTGTCCTCTGGGCAGTAAGGAGCCATCAAAGGGTTTTAAGCCAGGGAGTGCCTTACACTGAGAAAAGATGAAATGACAGTGAGTATGTGGGCAGGCAGCTGGAGTCGAAGGTCTGAACAGCGTGAGGGAGGAGGCACGTGAACTGTGGTGAGGTGAAACTGATAGAGCTTAGCAGTAGATACAAGTGGAGATGATGAGTATGTGAGGAGTCCTTAGCATCTCACATAGAGCTTTCCCCTCTGGAAAGATCCCAACATCAGAGATAGGCACGCTGAGTTTGAAATCCTGGCTTCATTTCATCTGCAAAATGGGTCAACAATCCCTAGTGGGCTGGTTTCCTGGGGACATTTTTATGAGAGAACAAAGCCTTCTCAGGCACTGGCCCAGTGTGAAGGGCTCTGGGCTTTTCAGGAGTGGTCTCCTCCATTCCTAAGCCTGGGCCCAGTGGCTGAAATGGCTTCCTCTTGGAATCCCTGGGTCCCTGAGGTCATGGCCAGGGGTGAGGCTCCAGGCATTCCCGGCATCTCCACAGGACCATGGACGTGGCCGTGCTCGTGGGAGACCTGAAGCTGGTCATCAATGAACCTAGCCGCCTGCCTCTGTTTGATGCCATTCGGCCCCTGATCCCACTGAAGCACCAGGTGGAATATGATCAGCTGACCCCCCGGCGCTCCAGGTGCAGCGGAAGCCACCAGGCTGGAGGCAGGGGGTGGAGAGGTCACCCTGGGATGGACGGAGTTCCTCGCTAGTGGGCGGGGCAGTGCTGGCAGCCAGGCTGCACCATCACTGACCTCTCCTGTGTGGCAGGAAGCTGAAGGAGGTGCGTCTGGACCGTCTGCACCCCGAAGGCCTCGGCTTGAGCGTGCGTGGTGGCCTGGAGTTTGGCTGTGGGCTCTTCATCTCCCACCTCATCAAAGGCGGTCAGGCAGACAGTGTCGGGCTCCAGGTGAGCAAGCAGAGTCCAGAGGGAGGGGAAGTGAGGGCCTCAGACCTCCTGCCTCCCCCTCACTCATCCACTAGGCTGTGTGGCACAATGTGGTCACCCACTTTTCCGAGCCTTTGGGTGAGGAAGACGCTGGCGCATCCTGACGGGTGTTCTTAGACTCATAGAAATCGGGCCGCAGGCAATTGCCTGTTTTCTTGAGTGAAGCTGGAAACCTGGCTGCTGCCTCCTTCCAGCTGCTGCCTCCTTCCAACTGCTGCCGCTGCACTTCCCCCCACCTCCCCTACTCCCCAAGAGAGGAACATGGTGACACCGGCACATGAAGTTTTGGACATGTTGCCTTTTACCAGCAGGGGGAAAGAAAGCCTGGTGCAGTGTGATGCCAAAGAGCACAGACTCTGAAGCAGGGCTAGCCGGGTTCAATTCTGGCTTTTCTCTTCATTAGGCTGTGTGACTTGGTGGAATGACTTAACCCTGTACCTCAATTTCCTCATCTATAAAATGAGTTGCTGATAGTACTGTCTACCTCGTCAGGTTGTATGAGTAAATGAATTAATAGTAGAAAGTGCTTATAGCAGGGCCTGGCACACAAATGCTGTGAGTCTGGTAAGTGAACAGACAGAGGGAGATTTAAGAAATGCCTGGAATGTGCCAGGTCACATTCTCACAAGCAGTCCTTGCTATATGCATTGAATGGATCTTTCCCATTTTCCAGAATTATCGATAGAGGCTGAGAGACCAGTAAGTGGCAAAGCCAGGATTAGAAACTGGGTCTCCTGACAGCCAAGCCCAGAAATCTCTCTTCAGCAACCCAGGTGCCTCTCCTTTGGGGTCCCCACACCTCAGGGCCTGAGCAGAGATGGGCAGACCTCCAGGTCTCACTCCTACCTGAGCCCAGGGCCGTGTTTTTGTGTGTTGAGATAAAGGAGGCCCTCCCACTGTCACCAAGAGCTTCCAGCGGGTTTGTTATCAACACCTCAATCCGGGCTGCCAAGCTGGGGCTTCAAGGGGCTCAAAGGCTAATGGTACAAGACACTGGGGCGTAGGGGGTGGAAACAGGGAGCTGACAGACACTGCTTTGTTCTAAATCCCTGTCTCACGGCTCGCTGGTGGTGTCTGAAATTTCAGCCCCTTCATTATTTCTTTCCTCTGCGGCACATTTTCCAGCTCAGAAACCCAGCCAGAGAAAACACATAATGAGCTCCTCTCTTGGCGTCAGCTGAGGCCGCCTTTTTTCCAGGGCGAGCTCTCCTAGGACAAGCAGTTCTCAATGCTGCCTCGATGACTGGGGGCGTTGGGGTATTTTAATGAGACCTAGAGTTTTACCTTCCTGGATCTTTCTCAGGCTTATGAATTATCGGCCCTTTCTCTAGCTGACGGGTTCATCTCTCCTTTGTGCTGCTGTCCCTCAGATCGTTATATCATCGTGGCCCTTGCACAAAGGGCCCTTTACAGGGTTTCACACACAGCAAGAGGGGAAGGAAAGTTGATCCTGCAACCTGAGCCAGGGGCCGTGTGGGAATCATTCCGACTGAGGTTCTGGGCAAATTCCCTTTAGGAATAAGACAGGGAACTTCACTCAGAGGAGCTTGGGGAAAAACGGCTGCATCCATTGACCTGTCTGGGGTTCATGTTTCTGAGGAGATCTCATGCCTGAGGGCAGCTGGGAGAAGATGCTGGAAGGCAGGGGAGGGCAGGTTCAGATACAGCCTGGCTGGGCTAAAGACCTGTGCTGATTTGACCCGTGAGGCTGGGTCCCCAGTGGTAGACTTGGACCCTCCCACAGGACCTAGTCCTGGGGATCCACCCCTCTGCCCTTATCCCCTGCTGGAGATACTTGAGAGGTTTTTTTTGTTTTTTGTTTTTTGTTTTTTCAAGAATATCCTAACTTGACCTACGTCCTCTGCCTTGCACAGGGCAGCGTGTACCATACAACTTGCTGTATATTCCAGGCCTAGAAAATTATTCTGTGTGCCTTGGTTGTCCCTGTCATAACATGGGCAGTGTAATGCCTGCCTTTGTGTGGGACTTGAGGGCTCTGACAGGTGGCAAGGATCCAGAGAGGGCAGGATGCAGGGAATTGCAGCCAGGCTTGGCCGGGTGCCCGTCTTTTCTGCTTCCAGACACCTAGGAAACACCACTTGTCTATCAGGGAGACCTGACTTCAAACCCCACGACACTGTTTACTAGTGGGGTAACCTTGAGCAAGTCACTTTACCTCTCTGAGTCTCCGTTTTCTCATCTGATTAACAGAGATACAAATTCCTGACCTGCAGGGTTATCGTGAAAAATAGGTGGAAGGAGTTAGTCTGGCCACTGTCCTTGAATTAGATGTTCCCAGAAACCTAGAGGGTTCTTTAGTGTGCCCCCACTCTGGTGCCATTTTGAGCCCTTGGCCACTCCTGTCAGGTCCCTGAGAAGACTGGGGTCTGTGTCCCAGAGTGGGAAGGAAGCGTTCCTTGGAACAGTGAGAAAGTGACTCTGTGGGAGTGCTGTAGAAGGCAGGAGTTACCCTAGAGGACCCCTCGAAGGCTGTATGTCCACCCAGCCCCTACCTATCTCGGTCCACAGGGAGTCCAGCTTTCGTCCCTCACGTATGCCAGCAAGTCTCCAAAGGGTGAGCATGTGTGTTTTGAGTTAAGCCCCCAGCTGACCTGCACTGGCCTCAGACAGGAACCTCTCCAGGAGCCAGTCTCTGTTTTGCAGCTACTGGCTGTGTGACCTTGGACAAAACCTCACTTCCTTGGGCCTCAGTTTCAGCTGACATCTGAGAGTCCCTCCTGCTCTGTGATTATTAAATGAGGAGCTCCAGAATTGATCCCCGGGGCCAGGGTGCCTGGAGGAGCCGGCAGTGTCCAGCAGGGGGCAACCTCACCACGGCGCTGTATCCAGGGCTGGCTGCCCAGGGCCGAGTCCCTATCTCACAATCTGCTGTGGCCTAAGCCCTGAGAAGAGAGATCTGAGCTGAGTATTCAGGGATCAGGACTAACTCATGATAACAATAACACTCATGTATTGAGTGCTTACTGTGTGCCAGGCACTAGCTGGCTTTACATGCACAAGTTCACTTAATTCTCACAGCAACCTTGGTATTCCTCATTTTACGGGCGAGGAAAACAGGTTCAGAGAGTTCAAGAGACTCACTCAAGGTCACATAGCTAATAATAATAAAAGAAGGGATTTGAACCCAGCACATCTGATGCCAAAGCCCTGTGCTCATCCACTGTTCTTTGCTTGCTCCCAAAATAGGAATTGAGAGGTCAGGGCCACGGCAGAGTTAAAATGTTCATCAAGTTTCCATATGGTGGGGAAAAAAAAATCGTGTGTGTGTGTGTGTGTGTGTGTGTCGGTGATGTGAGCTTGGGTCAGGAGTCACAGAAGGTCCCCACCCTGACTCAGTTACAGTGTTGTAGCAATTAGCAGAAAAAGGGAGCCAACTTCCTAGGGGCGGGTTGGGACAAAGTCCCGGTAAGAATAGCTTAAAGCTGAGTGAAAGGTCACCCTTTGCATAGAATCCAGAATCTGATGGTGCCCCAGTGGAGTGAAAGGGGCACCAGGGTGAGGGTGCAGAGAGTTCTGAGATCTTCTCCCAGCTCTGCTGCACACCTGCTGTGCCCTGGTCTCTCCATCTGTAAAATGGGGCGGCAAGACTGCTTGGACATGCCACCTGAACCTGGGATCCCCCAGGCTGATGGAGGGTGGGTTGGTTGAGATCAAGGCTTATTCCAGGGGATGGCATGGCCACCCTTCCCTTTTCCGGATAGCAGTCTGGGAGCATCTGGTGGTGAGTCTGCCCCACTGCCTGATGCTCCCTCCAGCCAGTGCTCCCTGCCTGTCTCTGTGGTCAAGGTAGGGGACGAGATCGTCCGGATCAATGGATATTCCATCTCCTCCTGTACCCATGAGGAGATCATCAACCTCATCCGAACCAAGAAAACTGTGTCCATCAAAGTGAGACGTGAGTGAGACTAGAGCAGGACAGGGCTCCATGATGGTGGGAGGGAGGGAGGGTGGAGGAGCTGTCCTAACCCCTGTGCCTTTCTCCCACAGACATTGGCCTGATCCCCGTGAAGAGGTGAGAGGCCCCTCCTCTGCAAGCCGACTCTTCCCTGTGGGCCCGGGGTCCTGGTACAGCCCTGGGGTCCAGCACTCACCATGCCAGCCCTGCTCCTGGGCCAGTGGAGGCTGGAGGTTGTAGACATGGTGGATCTGGATTTGGGGCCTGGTTCCTCAAACGTCTCTCGCTAACCACCCTTCCATCTATTTTCCCTTCCCATCAGCTCTCCTGATGAGCCCCTCAAGTGGCAGTATGTGGATCAGTTTGTGTCAGAATCTGGGGTAAGGGCCAGACCTCCTGTGATGGGGTTTGGGTGGGGTCATCTTCAAGGATGGGCGGCCAGTCCTAAAGGGAGGGCTTGCTCTAGAGATGCACTCTCAGGGACTTCACACAGGCCCCCAGGGCAGCCAGCACACTGCTGTGGGGCAGTGGCCCTCAGCCAGGCCAGGCTGGTGCAGACACATCCCCAGGGACAGAATGATGATCTGGCTGGTGTGAGTTCAGCAGTGCTCGCCCTGCAGATCCCACGAGCTCAAGAGGCCGCTTGCACGCATGTGGACACTCAGAGATTCTGCTTCTATCTCCCTTTCAGGGGGGGCGAGGCAGCCTGGGCTCTCCCGGAAATCGGGAAAACAAGGAGAAGAAGGTCTTCATCAGCCTGGTGGGCTCCCGGGGCCTTGGCTGCAGGTGGGTGGTGGGCATGCCCAGGGGTCATTCGTGGCCAGTGCACCCCAGCAGGCCCCTATTACCCTCCCCTTCCTCACTGCTGCTTCTGAGGAAACCTTGCCCACCAGGGGTGTGACTTGTCCATGGGTGATGGTATTTTTTTGTTAGAGACAGGGTCTGGCTCTGTTACCTGGGCTGGAGTGCGATGGCGTGATCATAGCTCACTGTAGCCTCGACCTCCCCAGCTCAAGCAATCCTCCCACCTCAGCCTCCTGAGTAGCTGGGTCTACAGAAACACACCATGACACCCAGCTAACTTTTAATTTTTTTGTAGAGAAGGAGTTTTGTTATGTTGTCAAGGCTGGTCTCAAATTCCTGGGCTCAAATGATCCTCCCACCTCAGCCTCCCGGAGTGCTGGGATTAGAGGCATGAAGCACCGCGCCCAGCCTTGGTGATGACGCTTCCTGGTGCCTGATTTCCCCTCTGAATTTCACGACAGGCCTGTAGGGCCCGAGGGGCATCTCTAATAGATCCCAGTTTACGGATGAAGAAATTGAGGCCTAGAGGCAGAACCATGTTACCTTGTAGGTCCTTGAGTCACTGCAAAAGGAGCCTGTTCAGCTGGTCATCTCTGTCACAGTTCTCTTATCACTTATTACCTTGTTGGCTTCCTTAAGAGGCAGACAGGGAATCCAAACAGATACTGGGCCACACGGGGCTCAAGCGTGCAGGTTCCACCGTTACTCAGATCCCAGTTCCAGCCCTACTTTCCCACTTAAGAGCTCTGGAACCTTGGGCCAGTTACTTAACCACTTGGAGCCTCAGTTTCTCCCTCTATAAATTGACAATAATAATTCCCACATCACAGTGTGATTGTGGAGAAAGTAAAGTACCAAGCTTAGTACCTGCTAAACAGTAAGCAGTTGGTAAATACTAGCTGTTATGATTTGAGTTATTCCTCTTCTTTCCCTTCATTCACATTTATTCCATGTTTTGTGCCAAGCATAAGTGATAAAAAGTCCCTCCCTTCTGGGAGACAAGAGCCTAATCTAGAAGCCAACCACATAAACAGTTATAATATAGGGTGATAGGGACTCAAATGGAACTACATTCTGTGTCCGGGATGGCAAATAGGTGCCATCTCTAATCAATTAGTAGGAGCTCCCTGGAGTGCTGCTTTGAAAAGGATTCTAAAGCTATATCCAGGCTTGTGGGAAAGAGTGCTGTGATCAATGAGTGATTTCTGCCACCAATCTAGGAGGGAGTAATAACAGTACATGTGCCATCCCTGCCGTAAATGTCATAGGAGCACTGAGAACCGAGCAAATAGCTTGGGCTTGGGATAGAATAAGGGATCTGAGCCAGGCATGGTGGTGTGCACCTGTAGTCGTAGCTAGTCAAGAGGTTGAGGTGGGAGGATTGCTTGAGCCCAGGAGTTGGAGGCTGTGGAGAGCTATGATCACACCACTGCACTCCAACCTGGGTGACAGAGCAAGACCCTGTCTCTAAAAAATAAATTTTTAAAAAAAGAGGATCTGCTGAAAACCTTATAGAAGGGATAGCATTTGGTTCTTAAGGAATGGACAGGAAAGCGTTAGAAAGAAAAAAGAAACAACATATGATGTATATTAGGTGAGAGATTGGGTAGGAAGAATTACAAGGAGTTTTCTGTGGCTGTTGCCCAGGGTAGCAGTAGAAATCAGGCTGGACGGGGAGACAGAGGCTGAAGAGGTAGGCAGCCGAGGGCCTTCAGTCCTGAGTTCATGAGTGACCTGTATCCTAAGCACACATTTCCCACCTCCCACAGCATTTCCAGCGGCCCCATCCAGAAGCCTGGCATCTTCATCAGCCACGTGAAACCTGGCTCCCTGTCTGCTGAGGTGGGATTGGAGGTGAGTGACGCTGGGCCGGCCCCAGTGGGGGCCCACTGGAAACTGGGTCAGACTGTGATCCCGCGGTGACAGGGGCAGGTGCCTTTCCACATGGCCCTCTTTCGGCGGTCACTGATCAGGAGGAGCCCTACCCACCCTGCAGAGAAGGCTTCACAGAGTGGGGACATTTGACCCTTCTGCAGCCTTCCATAGCTCTGATGGTTGTTGGTCGTGAGCTTGGGAATGTCATAATGATAATCGAAGAGCGGACCTTCAGGGTCCACTTGCATCAGACATTGTTCCACGCCCTTTACACTTCACAAGAACGCTGAGGATTAAGTGCCACCATTATCCCCACTTTACATATGAGGAAACTGAGACCCAGAGAAAGTATATGATTTTTCTGAAATCGTGTACCTAGCATGGTAGGACTGGAATTCAAACCTAGGTGGTCTCATCCCAAAGCAGGAACCCTTAACCTCTTCTTTGGACAAGTTACTTCATGTCTCTGTGCTTCAGTTTCCTTACCTATAAGATGGGGATAATAAAACCTTTCTTCCAAGGTTGTTGTGTGGGTTAAAGTAATTAATATGTATACTAGAACTGTGCCAAGCACACTGTAAGTGATCAGTGAATGTTAGCTATTCTGTTATGATGATTCAACACAGCCTCTGCTAAATGAGAAGCTCAAAAGTTTCCGCATCTACAAACTGTGATTTCTAAAGCAAGTGTCATCAAATTTAGCCAAAAAAAGAACATGTAATGGTATAATATTTGATAGTTGATAAGGTAGTTATGAAGTAGGGGAGTGCCAGGGTCAGCTTTAAGCCCTCCCAGAGCTCCACCAGAGCTTTCCAACTGCTCCATTCATCAGGAGGAACTGAGGTACAGCCACTTGAAGACCCAGCATCTGACCCAGAACCCCTGGGGGCGCCCGTCCTGCAGATGAACGAGTGTACAGATAGCGTAAACACACTAATCTTTTTCCACTTCCCCACCAGACAGGGGACCAGATTGTCGAAGTGAATGGCATCGACTTCTCTAACCTGGACCACAAGGAGGTGAGATGTAGGGGTCTTCACCTGCTGGCCTTTGTCATCTCCACACTCCACTTCTCACCCCCACCACCCTGAAGCCTGGGGCCTTCTGTGCTCTCTGCCTGGACTGCTCTGGTCTGTCAGGCCTCGATCCACTGTCCTTCTGTCCCCACAGGCTGTGAACGTGCTGAAGAGTAGCCGCAGCCTGACCATCTCCATCGTAGCTGGAGCTGTAAGTCCAGAATGAGCTGGTGGGAGCCCCTTGACCCTCATCCCCAGCCCCTCTGACCTTTGATCTCTGCCACACACTCCCAGGGTGGCAGGTCTCCTTCCCTGAAGCTCTGACAGAGCAGACGGAGGGAGAGGACTTCTGCCCAGCAACAAGTTTGGGTCAGGGATTGCGGGAGCCACTGTGCCTGATGGTGCTGAGAAGACCACCTGCATCTCGGCCCCCAACGGTGTGGCAGGGGATCCCCAGGGGCTGAGCAAGGGGCCTCTTTTCTCCCACGAGGGCCGGGAGCTGTTCATGACAGACCGGGAGCGGCTGGCAGAGGCGCGGCAGCGTGAGCTGCAGCGGCAGGAGCTCCTCATGCAGAAGCGGCTGGCGATGGAGTCCAACAAGATCCTCCAGGAGCAGCAGGAGATGGAGCGGCAGTGAGTGCAGCCAGCCCTGGATGCCCTGCCCCACCATACAACCCCACCTAGCTTGTGTCCTGCCTGCTGTGTCCCCAGCTAATTTCCTCCTCCTCCCTGGAGGCCAGTCCTCAGACCAGATGAGTTTGGTGGTGGGTCAGTGTATCCATCCTTGGCCCCTTCCTCCTTGCTGAGCAGAGACCCCTGACTTCCAAGATTCCAAGAATGTGGAAAATAAGCATCCTACTAGCAGTAGGCTCTAGCTAGCTAGGATTAGCTACTAGCTAACATTTGTCAAGTACCTCTATAAGGCTGGCGTTGTATTAGGGCCTTGTTTATGTTTCTTAATTCCCACAATAGCCCTGGGAGGTAGAGGTAGAGAGTATTAACCCCATTTTACAGGTGTGGAGACTGACACTCAGCGAGGTGAAGCCACTTGTGTCCAAAGTCACACGTGGCCAAGCTGGGATCACCCCCAGGCAATCTGGCAAGTCCCCACAGGGCTGCCCTGCCTATAGTGATAAAGCTCGTCCCTGTCCAGGGCGATTGAAATGATGACCTAAGAGAATAAACGGGGTGAGCAATTCATAAATCAAAAACTACTGTCAAGATCCAAACCCAAATACATTCTAGGCATTTAAAAGTATTTCATGGCTAGACGTGGTGGCTCACACCCTGTAATCCCAGCACTTTGGGAGGTCAAGGCCGGCAGATCATTCGAGGTCAGGAGTTCGAGACCAGCCTGGCCAACATGGTGAAATCGTGTCTCTACTAAAAATACAAAAAAATTAGTTGGACATGGTGGCATGCGACTGTAATCCCAGCTTCTCAGGAGGCTGAGGCACGAGCATCACTTGAACCTGGGAGGCAGAGGTTGCAGTGAGCCGAGATCACACCACTAAACTCCTGGGTGCAAAGTGAGACTTTGTCTCAATCAATCAATGTATTTTGAAAAGGAAAGAGGAAAGGCTGTCCCCATCTCCCCCATCACAGAGTTAGCTGGGAGTATTCCGCCTGGCTAGGAGCCCCTGCTTTGCTCCTGGGGTCAGTCCAGGCCCCGCCTGTCATCGGTCACCTTACCTAAGTATTTGGAGGAGGGAGCATGAAGTGTGGCCTTCACGTGGATCTGCTTCCCTGCTCCCACAGCCCAGCATCTCTGCTCAGCCATGCCAGACAAAACCATACAAGAGCACGGGGCCTAGACTTTGTTAGATAACGTCCCCCAAAACCAAAGCTTGTCCAGGCCTCCTAGGAAGGAAGCCTGGAGAAAAATCATTTCGAAGTTTTCTCAAAGCAAGAATTCACAGTAAGGAAGAGTTCATTTCTCTTGCATAGGACCAAACATGCCAGTCTGCATTTGTGTTTCAGAAGGAGAAAAGAAATTGCCCAGAAGGCAGCAGAGGAAAATGAGAGATACCGGAAGGAGATGGAACAGTGAGTACCTCGGCCCCATGCGTGTCTGTGCATGAACATTAGTATGCTCGGGGGAGTGTGGTCAGCCAGAGGCTGCCTCGAGAACCAGTTTACCTGGTTCTCTATCCCCTGGTGGGTCCTCCTTTATTTGTAGTAAAGCCTGTCATATTATAGTAACTGGAACATAGTCTCATATAATTGCCAAGGTGGGGTTCACACTCAATTTAGAATACAAGCTCCGGGACTTTGCTTGATTCACCACAGCTAGAACCAAGGGCTTCCCCTGGGCTCGTTGGGGCTCTCCGAAATGCAAGAGATGGGCCTATGAAGGTTCTGACTCCAGTAACAGGCATGGGGGTCTCATTTCAGGATTGTGGAGGAGGAAGAGAAGTTTAAGAAGCAATGGGAAGAAGACTGGGGCTCAAAGGAACAGCTACTCTTGCCTAAAACCATCACTGCTGAGGTGCACCCAGTACCCCTTCGCAAGCCAAAGTGTAAGTTTCATGAGCCGGGGGAAAGGCTAAGGGGACTAGACAGAAATGCTGGCCCTCCCTCCCCTCACCACCACCCCCAGGTGGATAGCCCTTGGTGCTCTGGGCTGCGGTTCCTTTATGGAGGGGCAGCTGTGGGTCAGAGACCATCTGCCCCAGCATCAAGGTAGGAGGGATCTGTCTGCTCCGCTTGTTCACAGGCCAGCTCCACATACCCAGCTCCCAGGTCCCACACAACACTGATGCGGGCAGGCTGTCAGGCTGCTGAAGAGGGAATAAGGGCCATGGCAAAAGTGGGCTAGCTCATGGGATTACCGTCCTAGTGTTTTGGGTGTCGGGTCCTCCTCCTACTTTGATCTGAACAGGGACTGGGGTGAAGCCAGCAGCAAAAAAGAGAGGAAGGAGCTCACATCAGAGAAGGGCTCTGATGGTCCAAGGTTGATTCATAACTGTGGGAGAAGCTTACTAAGTATCTCCAGCCCCTATATCCCTGTACGTGGACCACTGTCACGCCACTCCAAGGATGGAGGCAGGAACAGGACTAGGAAGCTTCTCCCAGACACCCAGCTGTGGGCTGCAGTTGTGCTATTCTGGAGCCTCAGCTCATATTCACCTTACCATCTCCTCTCTTCATCTGTCCCACATCCTCACCTCCAGTTTCAGTCTAGGCCTCTACCACCTGCTCCCTGACCACCTTCTCAACTCCCGTTTCCAGATGCCTCTTTAAGAGGCAGCCCACACTGCCAGAGGAAAACGGAGGTCATGACAACCACAAGTCCAGGATTGCTGGTTGGGTCCTTACTCCTGCCTTCCAGCTGTTTGGACTTATAGTTGACACAGGACAGGTCTTACTCCAGCTGATTGTGCTCAGCTGACCTGGGAACCTCCAGCTAGGGGCGAATCTGGACTCAAGAGCCCAGGTTCCCCATCTCTGCTGTGGGGCAGTCATTTGGCATGCTGTGATGGGGTCTCAACAGCTCTGTCCCCAACTTTGGGTCACATCTGAGACCTATGGGAATGTCAACCTGCCAACACAGGCCATTTGCACCAAGGAAGAAGTGCAGGGTATCTGGATGGTTCCATTTCACCCCTCCCTGGTACAGGCAAGCAGCTCCCAACACATTTCTTCCTGGCAGCAGGGCAGCGTCATCTCCTGGTCCTCTCCGAAGGACAAAGCACCCTCTCATTGGCCTCCCCCATGACATTCAGTATCAGTTGAGGATGTGGCCAGAGCTAAGCTCCCAATGAATGATTCCTGTTTTAGACGGGCAGCTAATTTGCTCTTATGAGTGAAACAGGAGCTTCAGGAGAGAAATCGATTTTAATTGCTTCTCATGGAAGTAATCCTAGTCAATTTGGTACCTTCCAAGAAACTGGGCCTCAGCTTCACAGCAAACACACCCTCTCAGGAACAAAAGAAAATAAAAACCCTTTCACTAGCTGGTTATTTATTTAGTGCTTTTTAACCAAATCAAGCTCCTTGAATAAAAAGACGAAGAATTTTGCATTTGCTCAAGGTAAATGTAATCCTAGGCAGCTCCACAAAGCACAGGATGGATGACCCCCGCCTGCCTGCTGAGCTGGGACAGCTGCTGCCTCTATCTGTCTCCGTATGTGCCAGCAATTTAATTCTCATTTGGACCTAAGGCAGGAAATGCAGTGAGGTCCCTGAACCAGCTCACCTCCTGCCTCACTCCCTGTTCCCCGGGGGGCTAGCATGGTCTAGCAGGCCTGGGCCCCAGCCAGCTCCTACCCAACCACCCTTCAACTCAGGGACCCAGTTTGCAATGGGTTATACCTGACTCAGGTTTCTATGCCTGCAAGGGGTGGGTCCTTTTTTTTTTTTTTTTTTTTTTGTCTTGAGACGGAGTTTCGCTCTTGTTGCCCAGGCTGGAGTACAATGGCATGATCTCAGCTCACCGCAACCTCTGCTTCCCAGGTTCAAGCAATTCTCCTGCCTCAGCCTCCCAAGTAGCTGGGACTACAGGCATGCGCCACCATGCCCGGCTAATTTTGTATTTTTAGTAGAGAGGGGGTTTCACCATGTTGGTCAGGCTGGTCTTGAACTTCCGACCTCAGGTGATCTGCCCATCTCCGCCTCCCAAAGTGCTGGAATTACAGGCAAGAGCCACCGCGCCTGACCCCAGGCCCTACAGTTTTTTAAAATAAAAGAACATGGGGCATCCCTTACCTAGAAAATGAAGTCACTCATCCTAATGATGTGCCTGGGACTGACTGCCCCCCAACCTGCCCCAGGGGGCTCTTAAAATTGCTGCAGCCTACCTACCCATGGCTGATCCAGCAGACCCCCAACATTTTGCCAAGCTCTGAAGGCCGGGACACCACCACGGAGGCTCCTAACAGACCTTCCCTTAGCTTAGGCAATAGGTGGTTACATGGGAGTTGAGGGGGCAGCCTTGGCTAAGGATCCAGTAGCTGAGGGATTCTTGAAAGAGGGAGATGTTTAAGAGATCTCCAACCTTCTCTCCCTATCCAAGGCCCCATCAACTATCTCCATCACCTCCACCACAAGAGACTCCATGATTTGGAAGTTGAGCTTATTTTCCTAACAAACTATTAAATAATCATTTGTGTTCCATTGTTTTATTAAGTAGCCCTTGTTAGTAAGGGAGCATCAGGGTTCCACTGTTGCGTAAATGTAATTTGACCCAAGAGCCAAAGAACTTAACAGCCTTTGCATAGGCCAATGGGCAAGTTCTGTTAAGCTTTTAAAATATTAAAAAGCAGCTCACAAGCAAACTGGTACACTACCTTCCAGAGTCCTAGGGAGGCCAGAGTCCAAGCTGGAAACGCTGGAATGGAGGGTCTGCTCTTCTCTCCACATTATGTCAAAATTCAGGTCTTCCTAACTGCAGGTGCCCCTTTTACCTTTTGGGATGTCCCCACCTCCTCAGGACCTTCAGCCTCCATCTGCTGCCCACACTGTTCAGACATCCCCTGGGGACCCAGAGCTCCAAGGCAAGGGTGATAAGCAGAAGGCAGGAGGGTCTTTCTCCCATTGCAGCCCCTTGCCCTCAAATGTGTGCAATTCTCAGATATTCCCATCCTCCTCGCTGCACTTCCCAGCCTTCAGCCCAACATCCTACAAAATGGTTCTCACGCTGCCCTCAGATCTGAGTTTCCTGTTGTTAGCCGTTTGTACAGACAGATAAACTAAAGCTACTAAGGTTGAAAGCACTGTATACACCAGCTCAGAGCAAAAAACCTTTGCTCTGCGCTCCTGAACTCTGTCCCTGCCCCTGACCTCACAACTCCCCTGGAGGAAGCTAATCACAGGTCTCCACACTCCTGAGAAGCTTCTCCAGCCTCTTGGTCTCCCAAGTCCCTTTTGGTTCACCAGCTTCCTCCTCTTTTCCCCGGTAGATCAGGGAGTGGAGCCTGAGCTCGAGCCCACAGATGACCCGGATGGAGGCACGGAGGAGCAGGGAGAGCAGGTTCGCGCCCCCGCTTTGCTCCCTGGCCTGGCTGCTCTGCTTGCCCTGCCCGCCTCCTCCTGACCACAGTGCAGACACCCAGCTTCAGGGGACCAGCATGTATGGGGGCCACTAGAGTCTGTAAAGCTCCTCCAAGCCCTAGCTTGGCCCAGGCACTGTACACAAAGCGTAGAGGACAGGACTCAACCCCGAGGGTGGTAGATCAGCTGTCGCACACCGGTACCACTGAACTGCTGGCTCGAATATTTAGATATTGCCAAATTCCCCCTCTGCTGCTCTGGCCCCTCCCCCAGGACCCCCTAGACCACTCCCAAATCCAGCAACTAAGGAGGTAGTGTCTGGTCCAGCAGGGGGTTTTCAGCATCCTGTTCCAGCACTCAGGCTGGTCCGGGGTGGGTAATTCAGCCATCGCTCTTGGCCCCAGGGAGCTTCAGATTGGGGTTATTACTCTGTGGAGCTGTGGCCTAGGGAAGGAAGGGGGCTGGTGCACTGGTTATCTGGCCTGGATGAGGATATGTTTTCTGGGAGCACATCTCCTGCCCACTCCTGCTGGAGCTGTCCTTCCCAGAGCTGTCCCAGCCACTGCCTTCTCTTTCAATGTTGAAAGTGGAGGACTTGGCCTGCACTATGAGACAAGCCAGTTTTGTCGTGTCGAACAACAGTTCTAGGCAGACACCCAGGCTCCCTTTTGTCTTGAGCCATTTCTTGTATGGAGGGACCAGACATGGGTTAGAAAAGGCCTTGTTCTCTTTCAACAAGGCTTTGTATGTGAAGACTGTGATTTGGAAAAGCTCGTCCTTCCACAAGGGGTTTTCTCTTTGATGTTCTGGCCCTGACTTCTGAAGCCAGTGTCCTGGGGAGAGGCATTTGAGAGTGACCCAGGGCCTGGGAACTGGGGCTTTTCTCAGGTGGTCTTAGGCCTGTTCTGCAACCAACGCGAGGCCAGGTAAGCAGAGCTGGACAAAGGGTGCAGTTTTGCTGTTGGATCGGCCAGTGCTGTTCATCTCACAAAGCCATGCATTGCTTGGGAACCCAGCTCCCATCTGCTGCCCATGGATGCTCTGGCTGAGCTGAACTGTGTCTCATCATTTTGTTATCTGTGTTCTTATAGCTTTTGGGTGGTTTTATCGTTACGATGGCAAATTCCCAACCATCCGGAAGGTAGGACAGGGTTGGGTGCTATGCTGGTGTGCTGCTGAGTTTGCTGTGGGTTTTGGCTTTTCCCAAACATTTCTTGTCCTGTCAACACTAAATGGTGTGACTTGGCCTGTTCACTTGGAAGGCTAACCCCATCTGCATCTCTGTGTCAGTCTGACATCAAATGGCAGGGTGCCATTGCAAAGGCAACCTCGGGAGAAGGATCCATGGTGTGAGACCTACCCAAGTACCATCTGGCACTGTGTGCATCAGCGCCGGCCCTGATGGGCACAGGAAAGGGGCAGGAAGCTTCTCCTTGTTTCTCTGTCAAGTAGAACTAGAGACCAAGGCCAGAAGCTTGGGGTCAGACAGAGCGAATTATCAGGGTGGGTGTACCTAGTGCATGTTATGAGACCGGCTGTGCCAGATGCAGCCTGCCTGACGAGGTGGAGATTTGCTGCCTCAGGTCAGGACAGAGACCCACTCCAAGCACAGCCCTCTCCTAGGAATATCTCTGCATGTGCCCAGGATAATGCATTTTTCCAATCTCTAGGACCTTTAATTTTCTCTCTAAATCTTATTACAATATCTCCAGGCCTTGTAAAACTCTCTTGTCCTTGTCTTTCTAAATCACATTGACATTTGATTGTGAAAACATTGCTGTTAACGTCTGTAATTGGACATTCGAGATGACTTGGTATTTGGAAGTCAGGCAACAGCATAAATCTGGGTGAGCTAAATTGGATGTTATCACTTGACCAGCGCTTTCTGGCAAGATGTCAGTCCCCCAGAAACCAGAGCACTGGCAGCTGAGTGACCTTGAGGATAAATAACTTCTCCCTGCCTGTAAAATGGGAATATTAACTGTGCCAGGAAAATCTACCCCCTTCCTCCAGCACATTGCTATTAAAATAACAAACAGTAATATTTTTCCTGACAGAGGTAAATGCCTGTATCTAGGAAAATAGATCATGATTTGTACAGCACTGAATAAACTTGGAACAGAGTTCCTCAGGGAATTCCTTCCCACATTGTCCTGGTCTCAGAAAGGCCTTGGTCTCATAAGACTATCTGTTTCACTTGACAGGCTGACTTCGGTGGCTTAGGATGCCTCATTGGGTTAGATTTCTAATTCTTCTCTATATACTGCCTCTACTAGAACTCAGCTAGAGAGGACAAAACACACACAGAAACACACACACACACACACACACATGCACACGTAGAATTTTACCCAAAAAAAAAAAAAAATAAAGGAGACAGATATGTCAAATCTTTTTCAGACACTAATAACATGTAAACGTAAAAGAACTAGAATCTTCCCCATATACCACCTCCTATCAGAAATCATGTCCTTGAAAGTGCTGTTGATAAAGAATTAGGGCTGCCTTTCCCCTATTCCTTAATCTACTTATTCCAGAAACAGCTGGCATTTTGGTTTTCATTTTCACTTCCAAAAAAAAAGAAAAATTGCTTCTGGGTAAAATCAATAGCACAGTCGCCCCATCTGCCTCCCCTCTCAGTCTGGACCAAAAGGAATGTTGTAACTGACAGGCCATGGATGTAACTGACAGGCCATGGATGTAACTGACAGCTGAAAGGACAACAGAACCATGCCCCTCGTCCTGGCTCTGAAAACCCATCATCATTTTTTCTAGAGCCGTGAGAGACTCTTTGTCTCCCAGCAGCTGGAACGCCAAGTCCCCAGGAAATGCAAGTGGGCATCTATGGCCATGATCATCTGTGCATAAATTCCCCTTATTAAAAAATAGAAAGATTCAGCTCATGCCTGTAATGCCAGTACTGTGGGAGGTTGAGACGGGTGAATCACCTGAGGTTGGGAGTTCAAGACCAGCCTGGCCAACAGGGTGAAACCCTGTCTCTGTTAAAAATTCAAAAATTAGCCGGGTGTGGTGGCACATGCCTGTCATCCCAGCTACTCGGGAGGCTGAGGCAGGAGAATCACTTGAACCCTGGAGGTGGAGGCTGCAGTGAGCCAAGATTGCACCACTGCACTCCAGGCTAGGTGACAGAGCGGGATCCTGTTTCAAGAAAATAATAATAATAATATAAAAATTCAGTGTCTTCTATTTCCACCTTGGCAGTAAATCCCTCTAGGCCTCAAGATTCCCAGGCCTTTGGCCCCACAGAATTTATGCTGGGGCCTGAAGGATTCATGATTCTGACTAAGCCCTTTCATCAGAATTGCTTAAGTCACTCATACAGACTAGCCCTACTTGCAGGAGCCCACCGTCTGGCAGGGAAGGCAGATTCACACACAGCTAAGTAACCTGTGTGGGGCTAGTCTGAGATCAGTGGGAAATGCCATGGGGCAACCTGCCCTCTGCATCTGTACAGATGTGACTTTCTTGGGCGTGAGACAGAAACTGACTACTACCCCGCCCAGAAGCCCTGACTCTATAATCTTAGCACTGGTAGTTTTCTTTTTTAAAAGCAACAGAATGGCCATTCTCCTCATGGTGGTCCTGGAGGAGGCCAGGCTCTTACTCTAGCAAGCTACCATTAGGCCATGTTTCTGTCTTCTCTTGGGAAATTGCTGTCTGAATCTCTACTACGATGGCAGGGATTCATCTGTCAACTGAGTCTAGTGAACAAGGTAGGCAAGGAACCAAACAGGACTCTGAAGCAGTGAGAACCATTTTCTCGAGAGGCTCATACACTGCTCTGGAGGTGGGTCCCAGAGGTGACCATTTCCAGAGCACATTAGCAGTGCACGGAGGTGTGTGTCTTTAGAAGAGGAGCTAGGAAGAGTCCTCAGAGGTCCATAATGGCCCACCAAGTCCCTCCAGCTGTGGATGAATGTTGTGTGTCCATTGCTAGGGAGCTCAGTTCCTCATTCCTGGCCTTGGAGGCTACGATGATTCAGGAAATTTAAGAGCAGATCCCCAGAAGGCTCATTGGGGCCGTGAGTGAGCTCAGTGAACAGGGGGTTTCCTCTTTGCCCCAGAAATTGCCCAGGGTGTGGGCTGTCTCTGCTGCCCCTCTCCTGAGTGTTCGCTGTGTCCTCCACGCTGTGCATGATGGGGGCTGACCCTCCCTCCTGCCGTGTTTCCCTTGCCCCCAGCTCATCAGGGCACCATAGAACAACTGGGGCCTCGAAGACTCGGGTCCAAATCCTGGCACCATCACTTACAAGATGTCTGACATTGAACAAGGGACTTTACCTCTCTGAGCCTCAGCTCCTTCACCAAAGAATGAGGATAAACCTACATAGGAGATCATTGGTGTAAATCCCTTGGCACATAGGCAGTTCATAAATGATCATTCTCTTCCTGCCTTAGTCCCTGACTTCCCTGCAACCCCATGAGAGAAGCAGCCAGGAATGCAGGCTCGGTGGGTCTAATTCCTACAGGAAAAATAAGGAGTCTATTTGCCTTTCATGTCCCTCCCCAAATCCTCTAGAACCCTGATGGTGAGTATAAAGCAGTTAAGCCATTCTCTCCGTCCTCTGCCTCCCAGTCCTGCAGTTTCCAGCTAGCCCTCAGTAAAGGGGCCCAGTTCAGAGGACACTGTGGGTCTAGACTCTCCAGGGTGAAACAGTTCAGAGTTTAAGCATGCGAGTAAAATCTGATGTCCCTGGCTCTGAGCCTCCAGGTCTGAGTGTGACTCCCACCACCTCTAGCTTAGGACAGGACCTCTACAGATGAGGCTTGCCAGCCCTCCCAGATTTTCTCTGGAATCTCCCAGGATGCATCTGTGAATCTGAACATGAGATGATGCAGAAGGCATGTGCCAGATACTGGAAAATCAACACAATGTCCTTTATTTATATAGCACTTATTTATTTTTATTTTATATTTTTATTTATATAAAACTTTTACAAAGTTCTTTCATAGATGCTATTTCATTGGCACTGGGTGGCAAGCTTGTGGGGGAGGTATTTTTACCATTTTGGAGATGAGGCAAATCAGGCCCAGAGAGGTTAAGGAACTTAGCCAAGGCCACACAGTTAGTTAGTGAACTAATAAGCCAGTCTTTCTGGCTGGTAAAGAGAATGTGTCTCCCACTCTGCAGTAGGTAACAGTGGCCTTCCTGTCCTAAACCTGAGGTCTGATGTCCAGTATGGTGAGACAGAGCTGGGGGAGGGGCTCACCATGGGATGGCTGTGTTATCTGAGGACTGGATGCCCTGTGTGCCGTGCTGTCGACACTATTTGTAATCCTTGTCATATAAACAATGCCACATCTACTCAGAAAGGAAAAGATAAGAAGAAAGCCAAGTATGACAGCCTGCAGGACTTGAGAAAGAATAAGAAAGAACTGGAGTTTGAGCAAAAGCTTTACAAAGAGAAAGAGGAAATGCTGGAGAAGGAAAAGCAGCTAAAGATCAACCGGCTGGCCCAGGAGGTACGTGTCCTGCCTGCAGGCCAGGCAAGCATCCCTAGGACACAATGTGGTCGTTTCCCATGTGCTCCCAGAGGACCAGCTGGAGCTGTTCTCCCCAAATGGCGTACCAGGGTGGAGTGAGCCCTTCCCTGCTCCCCAGCCTGGAGAGAGAGATCGTGCCACCTGCTCAGGGCCATCTGAGGTTAGCTCCTGGCTTAGGAATTGAAACCAGCCTCCTTGCTCGGGAGGTGTGAGTCTGAGGCTAGCCTTTCTGACCAGATGGTAGGTCTCAGGTTAGCCCTTGATACACCTGGCTTAGAGGCTTGAGTCTGTCCTCTTCACTTTACCCCACCAGAGTCTAAGGCTAGGCCTCTCCATCTTAGGTATGGCTCTGAGGCTACTCAGAGTACGGTCTGAGGCTAACCCTTCTGCCTTGCTTATAGCTTTGAAGTTATGCTTCCACTGACCTGTCTACAAATCTGAATCATTCTGGCCTCCCTTCCCAGGTTATTGTAAGACCAGACCCCCCCACCCAACTTAGCTTGGCTCTGAGAATATGGGTCTGAGACTAACCCCTTTGTGCAGGTGGTAGGTCTGAGGCTATCTCCCAATTAATCAGGCTATGAGTCTAAGGCTGCTCCCATCAACATAGGGTGTGTCTGAGGCTCGACCTCATCATCCTGGGAATATATCTGAGGCTGTTCCCCTGAAGACATGTCCAAAGCAACCTTCCACCATGAATAATTCCTATGCTAGGTGAGATGGGTAACCTTAACTCCCCGGCTGTAGGAGGTATCATTGTTTCTGCTTCTCTTTAACGCATCCATGAATCAGAATGCCAATTTGATTAGATTATAAAACCAGAGAAGTCCTGGAAAATGTGAAATTCATTAGGTCTGACATTATGAACAAATTAGCTACAAAATTAAAAATAAGATTGTGCTTCTGAGGGCAAGGCAGAATGGAGCAGGAAAAAAAAGAGTCAAGTTAAACTCTTGGAATGTGCTGGGGGAGGCTAAAAAACACCATTCTGGGAAAATCATAAGAGCTTCAGGGTTCATGGGGATCTGGGATCCAGCTAATCCCTCACAATACATAAGCCCCTTTTCTGATTTTGCCTACAAGTTCTGCTTAGTGAACTTGACACCCCGCCACTCTCTTCTCCCTTGCCACCTCCTTGAGGGCCAGTTGGAACAAGCCCAGGTCTCTTTCTAGATAGCTGATGCACCTCACAGTACTCTGGAGTTTTTAAAGGAGTGCTTTCGTGCTATTTCTGTCCACATGTTATTCAAATGTGCCCTTTGTCCTCTCCTTTCTGCGCCGATCCTGGGTCCCAGGTGTCTGAGACAGAGCGGGAAGACCTTGAAGAATCGGAAAAGATTCAATATTGGGTGGAGAGGCTCTGTCAAACGCGCCTCGAGCAGATTTCATCTGCTGATAATGAGATTTCAGAGGTAACAGAGCCCTTCTTTCCACACAGACCCTCCTGCTGCCTTCAGAATGATTCACTGGGGGACAGTGGGAGGTGAGATGGCAACTAGCAAATGCCACTAGCCTCACAGGTGCCCATCCACTGTCCAGGCCCACCCCTACCAGCCCACTCCCCTCTTGGGGAGAAGAGATATGTCTGTATTTCTGGGTATACTCCCAGAGTGACACTAAGTCCCAGCTCATCCGAGATAGTCCCAGTTAGGCCTGTTGTCCTGGCATCATCACTAAGAGTCCCCCTTACACTCTCAAGGGCAGTCCAGTTTAGAGGATGAACTATGTGAACACCTTACCACCCACAGATGGCATAACTTGGGGCTCTCCTGCATTTGGGTACTCTCTACCAGCAGCCTAGTATGGGCTCAGCTGGGCATCCAGGTGGCAGAGGACTGGCACCCCATTGTTCTGGTTTAAGGGTAGTGGGTCTCCAGTAGCAAGGGAAACAGAGTAGAAGAGCATAGTGCTCGATGTATTGCGAAGTGGAGCGCTAATCAGAGTCACAATTACAGAACTTCCTTGCAATCCCCCCAGATGACCACAGGGCCCCCACCTCCTCTGCCTTCTGTGTCTCCCCTGGCCCCACCCTTGAGACGCTTCGCAGGCGGACTGCACCTGCACACCACTGACCTGGACGACATCCCTTTGGACATGTTCTATTATCCCCCCAAGACTTCCTCTGCCTTGCCTGTGATGCCCCACCCTCCACCCTCCAACCCACCCCACAAGATCCCAGCGCCCCCTGTCCTTCCCTCATCTGGCCATGTGAGTGCCTCGTCTTCCCCATGGGTGCAGCGCACTCCACCCCCCATTCCCATCCCTCCCCCTCCATCCATTCCCACCCAAGACCTCACTCCCACCCGCCCACTGCCCTCGGCACTGGAAGAAGCATTGGGCAACCACCCCTTCCGCACTGGGGACACAGGCAATCCAGTGGAGGACTGGGAGGCAAAGAACCACAGTGGGAAGCCCACCAACTCCCCTGTCCCTGAACGGAGCTTCCCACCCACCCCAAAGGTACTCTCCCTGTTCTGCATGCTATGTTTGGAAGTAGGAAGAGTGGGGAGAACTGCTGTTTCCCATGTCCTCCACTGCTCCTGGGAGTGGAGACAGAAAGAAACATCATCTCACCCCATTTTCCAGGAATGTCCCCTCCGTGTGCATGTGTGGACATCCTGCATGTATATGGTTCCCACTGATTTTGAAGTGCTGTATTGTATGATGAATGACCTGGGACCTTTGGGGTAAGCAACAGTGTGTCCATTTGATATTCATTGCTCTCTCTTGGCTCTTCTTTGCTAGTGTAGGCTGGTAACTTTCAATGCAGGACTTGGAAGGCTATGTTAATGAATAGCCAGCACTCCGTCACATCCAGTCATTTCCTGATAGTATCCCAGAAAGCCTTGAATATGGGAAATGACTCCTGATCTAGCAGGAGAAAAGGGAGGGGAGGAGGAAGCAGGGCACGGGTAACGCTGTACCATCAAATGCAGTGTTAGGACACTCTAGTGCCGTTTTCTACGGTACTGGCCAACTGCACTGCTTGAAGTGTAACACCCAGAAATTTCTGGCCAATTTCCCGCTATAGAAAAAATGAAGAGAGAGTTCCTAGAAATAATTTACTATTAAAAGAATAGGAATGTTTTTCTTGGATGTTAGGAAGATGAACAGTGTCTTTCTGAAAAAGACATATTTCTTATTAATTATTCGTAATCCAAAGACTATTTTGAAACATGCAATCTCTGAGGAAGACACGGAGCTTGGATCCCATGAAGGGAAAAGCAAAATATTATTCCGCTCCCGTAGCCATGAGGCCAGGCTTGAGTCAGTGCAAAAGCATCTCATGTCAGCTGACGGTAGCAGGGTTGCTGAGGGAGGGCATAGTCAATAGCACCTGACCAGTGGTTTGTATTAACCGTCCCTGCATGGATTTGAGTTCCTGCATGGAGAATGGGACAAGTATCTCAGAGCACTCAGGAGAGCTTACAAGGAAGGTGGGAGTGAAGAAAGTGCCAGATGCCAGCAAGGCTGCAGCTTCCAGCGGGAGACTCTCAGAGGGACCCTTTCCGGACCTCTGGTTGGGATTGTGAGCCCTGCAGCTTTGATAGGAAGAAATCTGCCTGTTCTGGGGACATCTTCCCCCAGAGCCCAGCCAGGAGCTGGTTTCTAGGGCTGAGTTAGCCTTGCACATTTTTCTCTGTAAGTGGCCTCCATCAAGATGAGCAGGCTTTTCCTCAACAAATTTGATTCCACATTGATTAAGTACCTGCCTGGGGCCTCTCTCTGTGAGGGGAAGAGGGGAGCAGTGCTGAAGAGGATATGGAGGAGATTGACATGCCTGTGCTTTCCAGGACTTTGCCATCTGAAGGATGAGCTGCTGCCCAGGCAAGCTTCTGCTATAAAATATGCAAAAGCCATGCGCTATGGGAGGGATTCATTCTAACTGAAGGTTGAAGACACCTCTGTGGAGTAGAGGGCTTACGAGCTGAGCCTTGAGGGGTGGCAACATGTGGAGGATGGGAGCAAGGGCATTGTAAGTGCAGGGAACATAAATATGGCAAGTTGGAGTAGCAGGGAGTCGGACTGCCTGGGTTTGAATCCTGGCTCTGCCACTTACTAGCTAGATGACTTTGAACACATGCTACTTCATCTATCTGAGCCTGGGCATCCCTGTCCAAAAATAGGAATGTTAACGGCAGCTACCTATTCGAATCAAATAAGTTAATATATGAACACATTCTAAGTTAAGAATGGCAAGAGAGGCAGGCACATCGTGCATGTTCAGTAGACATTAACTATGGTTATTGATAGTCCAGAGTACAAGAAAATTTGGGTGAAGCTACAAACCTGGGATCTTAGCAATCTCAGTTAGTCTCAGCAAAACTTTGAGTCAGGGTCAAGATTCAAGACGGAGTTCAGATTTCTCAGCTTCTTCAAGGCATCACGAAGTTCCCACTGTTAGTTCCTGATCAGAGCCCAGGGAAGGCAAAAAGCCCCCAACATAAGGAGCCTCTGAAGAACTGGACCGTAAATGTCGTAAGCGACATCAAAGCCAGGGTTGTCCCAGCCTCAAAGGCCAGGGGGTTGTTGTTTGGTTGGCTTCATCTGGCCCACCTCTCACCCTTGTACCACCCACCCTCTTCCTCCCTGCATGCCCCTGGCAAGGTGTCATCAGTGCTGCAGCAGGAAGTGTGAGTGACCACACGCCCACACAGTCGGCCCAGCCACCAGCAGGCCCCAAGTCATGGAAACAAATGCCTGTGTTGGCTTGACACTTGTGCCTGCCACACCAGCACCTGCCATAGGGGGGTTTTCAGGGCCAGATCTGTCCACAGGCACTGTCCCATGTGCTCACCATACTATTTAATCATTCATTTATTCATTCAACACATGCTTATTGAGCACCTACTATATGCCAAGGCACTATGCAGGGCACTGGGAGCCCCTGCTAGATAGACAGTTGCAGTCTCCCTTCTCAAGACAGTCTGGTGGGAAACAAAGAAAAGTAGGCACCCGCTACACCATCAGGGTGGAGATGGAGGAAGCACAGGTGCTATAATAAGGAAGAGGGGTGGAGGAGAGGAAAGCTCAAGGGAGGCTTCCAGAAGGCAGTGATGCCCAACCTAAGACCTGGGAGGTAAAGCGGAAGAAGGAAAGAGCACATGTAAAGGCCTCAAGGCAAGAAAGCCTGGCATTTTTTTGAGGTTAAAGCTAGGCAGTGTGAGGAGGGTGGTGAGGAGTGAGAGATGAGGCTGAAAAGGAAGATAGAGAAGCTCATGAAAGGCCTTGGGGGTCAGGCCAATGAGCTCAGTAGTGGATGGGGACTCTTGGGAGGGCTTGGGGCAGGGTTGTGAACTGATTTGATACATACTGCCCAAGGAGATCAAGTGGGTTAGAGCCAAGCAGACAGGTTGCATCAGCTCCCGTGGATGCCACTCTTACTGGTCCTTACTCCATGGCCTCTAGAGACTATGTGCCTACCCACTAGGAACAGCAGATGCTTCACACTGTGGTCCAGGGACTGGAGCTGTGGCCAAAGAGACAGCCCTTAAAGACAAGAGACACTGGATAGCACCCATGACCACTGACAGAGGGGTCTGAAAGTGTGTCTCCTGGGTGACACTGGCTGCAGGCAACCCCAAGCCAGGCTCTAGCTCAAGCATCTGATTTCTTAGAGCCACTCAGTAGTTTCTGTGGTCTCAGCCCACACTGTGGCCAATGGACTTCTCATCTCTCTGCGAAGATCACAGCCCCAGGACCTCCAGCAGGTTGAATGAACCAGGCTGGCTTCGCATGTGCATGGGTGTAGATTTGCATGTGTGTAGAAGTAGCATGGCTGGCCTTGGCCACCCCACCATGACCTCACCTGGGTCCCTGTTAAACTAACTCCTGTAGACATTTTGCCCAAGCCCACAGCCTCCACGAGGCCCTGGCGTGTCCACCATCTCCAAACCTGTCATGGTCCACCAGGAGCCCAATTTCATCTATAGGCCAGCTGTGAAATCTGAAGTTCTGGTAAGCCCCTTGGGTCCCCTCCAGGTTGTCTCTAGAGGAGCAGACCAGGGCTACCTCCCCTGGGTTCTGCTGTCTCTGGAGTGGAGGGCAAGTGAGGTGGGACAAAAATGCAGATCACAGATGCCATCTCTTAACCTTCTTATTGGCCAAGAGATGAGGCCACATGGGTGTAAGTGGATGTTGGCATGACCAATGGAATTTCTGTTTCCCACTTGATGTAACAGCCTGGAGCTCTGTCTAAAAGTAATAATATTCACTAAGACCTGTGAAGAGCCTACTATGTGCCAGGCTCTGCATGGCCTCAATTAATTCTCACAGCAGAACTGTGGGATGGTTCCTGTGGTCATCCTGTTTAACACTCGAGGAAAGGGAGATTTAGAGAGGTTACCAGAGGGGGACCAGGTGCCCCAGGCAGAGCCTGGACTTAATACTTACCCTCATGCCTTTCATGCTCCAAAGCCCACACTCTTACCCTCATTGCCATCTTGCCAAAACCTACAGAGATTCCAGGTGCCCTGGCCCCTGCCCTAAGGCCTGTTGTGGCCTGGCAAGAAACACCCTCGGATGGAGAACTGGCCAGAGCGGGTTCACTCCCCTTCTCCAACTTACTTCTTACCTCTCACTGGGACTGGGAGTCTGAGGTGTGGTCCTGGGGAAGTGGGAAATGTCCACCAGCCTCAGTTACTGACAGCTAAGGGAGCTGGGATTCGTGTGCACCTCCCAGAGGTGCCGACCACTGGCTGGCCTCCCATGCACAGTGAGAAGATAGTCATGTCAAAATTTTAACTTCCCTTTCAAGGAAACTCTATCCAAATGTCAAGGCAGGACAGCTGAGATATTTATTTTGGGCCTTAGCTGTCCCGTCAGCTCCCCAGAGAGCTAAGTTTTTGCTCCTGGGACAGCCTGCGGATGCATCCATGTCATGGTCTCTGGCTAATGTCAAAGGGTGGTGTCTGCTTGACGACAACTGGGTAGCATCTTTGGGCATTGAGCAGGCCCTTAACATAAGCCAGACTGTCTGCTCAGGGAGAACATTGGCAGGGCAGCCCCAGGCTGGCAGGCCTGAGGCCTGGCACCAGGGGGCAGACAAGACCTATTGGTAACATCCAGTGTGGAACTTTTTTTTTTTTTCCTCTGGCAGCCACAGGAGATGTTGAAGAGGATGGTGGTTTATCAGACAGCATTCAGACAAGTAAACTGATACCCACTGTGTGTCTGGGGGTCTCCCCACCACCCCGCATCCCTCCCACTCTGTGCCACTTCTTTGTCTCTGGGAGTACCTGGTCAGGTCCACAGTGGCCCCACCTGCCACCAAGCGTCAGGCCAGAGCTGTGTCCTCCATTTCCTGTGCAGGGGTTGGGGAGGATTTCATATCAGATGGGGACCCAGGGCTTGTTAGACCCCATGCATGAGCTGAGAAAAAGCAGCAGGATCCCTGGGCACTCACCTCTTTTGCTGCTGTTTGTCCAGAGAGGAGCAGGGCAGGAGGAATCCTCAGAGGCCCACAGAGGCTAAGATGGGCCCTCGCTCCAGCCCTAGGAGAGAGGGAAGGGGCTGCTTAGGTGTCTCCCTGTACCTTCCCCTCTTCTCCTCCGGGCAGATCACAGCTTCACCAACCCTGCCTGACACTGAACCAGCGTCAGGGAAGAGATGGTAGCTGAGGTCCTCCCTGTGCCTAGGGTACTCCTATGCACAGGGGCATGGAAGTCCTTGCTGGTTCTCTGAGCGGCATTAGGCAGGCAGCCACCTACCCACCTGCCTCCCGGGGTACCTCCACAGAGCCAACCATTGGATTGGCTGTTTCATCACCAATGAAAGAAACCTCAGGACAGAGGGAGATCTTGCAGCCAGCCCAGGCTTCTCCAGCCTCCTCACTGATAACCCACCATCAGACCACAGGCTGATTTGACTACAGGCAGGGAGCAGAGGGACGGTATCAACTGTGCAGTGAGACACAGGTGTCAGCAAAAGAGGCTGCTCCCAGCCCAGGGATTTGTCGATTTAATCTTTCCAGCAACCCTGGGTGGTAAGTGCTATTCTCATACCCATTTTCTCTATGAGAAACTGAAGCAGAGAGATTTGAAAATGTGCCCACAATGGCACAGCTAATGTCAATCCCTGGATTTGAATCCAGGAGGTTAGTCTCTGCAGCCTGTGCTCTTAAACACTGCGCCATCCTGCCTTAAAGCACTGTCGTCACAAAAGAGGCCTTCCAGGACCTGGCGGTTTAGGGCACAAACAGCCCTCCCAGGGAGAGAGGCAGGGAAGTACAGAGTCTAGGCTCCAGAGTTGGAGTCAAACCCTTGCTCCCCTGCCCACTGACTGGGTGACCTTGGGCATGAATATCACCTCTCTGGGCCTCAGTTTCTTCCTCTGTTGAATGCGGGGCTGGGCTGCCTCTTTAAGGGCTGACCAGCTGCTGTGACTTATGAGTCTCTGATCTAAATTCACACAAAACACAAGTACCTGCCATCTGGCTCATCCCTGAGAGCTTGTTCTCAGGATCATGGAGCAAGGAGGCCAGAGCCAGCAGTGCTCAGCCTTCCAGGAGAAACAGCCAGAGCAAGTAGGGCCCTTAAAGTCACAGAGCATCGACTCCACACCCTGCCCAATGATCCCTCTTGCCCGTGCATTCGCTGTGCCCCCTCCTCTGTCTGCTGCCCACACACTGACCTGGATGTAGCCTCCAAGCTGAGCTAAGCTCATGGCCTCTTGGGGTTGAGCCTGGGTGATTAAGGCAAGTGAGGAGGGATGCCAGGCAGATGCTTAGGGATCTGTCTGCTGATATTTGGTGCTCATCTTGTGCCTGGAACTTAGTTGGTGCATTCTGAGGATGGAGGAGTCTGTGGCCTCCCCGCCACGCAGACCATGGGCCCCAGGGGACACTTGGTGTGGTCTAGGGACCTGCATGTTGCGGGTGCCTCCACTCAGACAGCGAGGCCTGCCATGGGGCTCTCCTCCGCTCCCACCTTCCATGGGAACCAGCTGTGGCTCCGCTGCCCTTGTGCTTAGCATCCTGGCCCCTCAGCCTGGGGGTGCCCCTGGCTCCCATTCACTGTGTATGACTCCCAAGGAAGGCCACCTAGTTCAGGCACTACCTCACTATGTGTTCAGGTGCCACCTCACTGTCTTGTTTCTACAGCCTGGAGCCATTGTCCCCACAGCATCCCCCATCAAGCCAGGTCCCCTGAGCTGTGTGTCCTCCCTTCTCCCCTAGCTAAAGGGCCAACCTGCGCTCCCCAGAATCTGGGGAGGCCTCTTGCCTTCTAGGTGAGCATTACATGAGAACACTGCCAAGCCCCAGGCAAGCACAGCTTCTTGACACCACCTGCTTTCCTCTTGGTGTCCAGGGCCTCCCTCCACCATCTTGTGGCTGATTTCCAGGAACAGCCTTCTCTTAAGCTGCATGGTCCCCTCCTGTGGGGTCAGAGCACTGGGTGGAGACACCCTGGGCTTCATCCCCCAGGGTCTGGGCCTGCTCCAGTGGAGACTTGGAAGAGATGAGGTGGGGCCTAAAGGACTTGAGGCTGGGCTGAGACTTTCAGCAAGGCAGACGCTGCCTCTCCAGACCATCTAGAGGTCACTGGTGCCCCTGCAGCCCCTGACGCTTGTGCTGCTGAAGCAGGGCAGGGTCGAGATCCTCTAAAGTCTTCCTCAGCCTCCTGCTTGTCCCTGCACAGGAGTGCCCTGGCTGCTGGGGCTGCCAGCCTCCTGTCTGCATCCCCCACCCTGACCCCGCCTTCCCTGGCCCTGCCCCTCACTTCTGACCCTTGGATTCTGACCATTCACCCTCCTCCTCCTTGGCCCTGACCCTCAAGGGCCTCTGCTCTGTTGCCCTAAGGCCCTCCCTTTGCTTCCAGGATTTCCGGAAATATGAGGAAGGCTTCGACCCCTACTCCATGGTAAGAGATGACTCTTCTCTCCTGGGGGAGAAACCCCAGGAACAGGGCAGGGTGGGGTTAGAGTGTTTGATAGTGGTGCATTCCGGGCCCTGGGGTCCTGGGAAGAGGTGGGGCACAGAGGAGCCCAATGATGCCCCAGCTGCTCTTCTCACGAAGGTTCCTTCCAAAGG